TTACACATATACTTTTATTACAACATTTTCTACTTATGTTTGTTTAATTTTTAATTTTATATGTAATTATTAATTAATACTAAATTCAACAATAATTTATTACAAATATACGTATTTAATAGTTAAAATAATAATTTCAGTGTCTAATATAATGAAATTGTTCAGGTCTCAAATAAAGTAAGGCGTAGAAGTCCTTGAAACTTGAAATTCGTAGTTCAAACCAACATAAACGCAACGTTTACGCTTGTGTGTAAGGGTCTTAATGTCGCATCTGTTTCTTCAACATTGCAAATAAACACTTTCGACTGAATGTGTCGAGACTTGTCGCAAAAAGTCAACACAATGTTTATATTCGTCTTAATTATCGTGCCTGTTCGTTTAGGATCAGTCTTTAATATTTTCTGAATTGAGGAACGAGACGTGTCTGGGAGAGTCATTCGGTCGTCGAATTTCGTAACAACAGCAGATATTACGTCGCATTAGATTCGTAACTTTTACTAAACTATTGGTGACACTTCCATTTATACCTCATTAATAGTATCATTTAATTAATACGCGTGTACTTAACAATTAATTGAACACTATGGTAACGGAACCGTATAGTGCTTTGAAACTTTTCGCGTTAATTTTTCTTCAATCATCGATTTCACTCGTACGGTTACCGGTTACGATCAACTCGTACGTCTTTTTAATAGAATTTGAAGTTGATTATCGTTTCATTTTTACATGTTTGCCTTCATTTGACACATTTGTTCTGATTTTTGGTTTCTCTTTGTGCAGGTTATTCTTCGATTGCAGAGATAGCATAGATGCCACGATCATTAGTGGACAATTTGATAAACTTTTATGTAAATTTGGCAGCATTTCATTCATTTTGGGTGACATTTGGTATACAATTCATATATATTTAAGATGCTTCACAATACGTAATTTTGTAACTATTTGAAATACAAAAATGAAAATCGTTTGGAATACGAAGATTAAAGTAATTAATATTTTATTTGAACATAGACCAGCTTAATGATATACATATATTATTTGATAATCTTGTATTAGATTATCAAATTCAAAGTTACTTTATTATACTATATGTACTTTATTATTTTTTTTTTTGAACGTTGATGTGCAATTGAAACGATTTAAAGCAAGATTTCAAACACGTTTTTCATGATATTGTTTCTTAAATGTATTAAAATTCTGTAAAATTTCGATTTATACAAACATTTTCGAATATTTATAATACATGACGTGATATATTACTAATGTGCATACTTCCTATCTAATAACGAACATTCACAATACAATTTCAGAATATAATGATCGTTTTTCATTTACAGTATTGAGAAATACTTTACAATTTACAACTAATATCTTTAATACACATTCAAGTTTCTTTATAATCATGTTTTAGAAAAATAGTAGTATTTTCTAAATGAATGTATCTTTCCCCCTTCCCTTACTAAACACCTTTATTTTCAGAAAATTTAAGTGATCATACGCGCTCGATAGAGTGTTTGTTTTGCAATATTTTAATAATTTTGTAAGCAAAATAGTTTTTATTAAATTAGATTATTAATTCATTTAAATTATAATTCGTTATAAGTTAGAGTCAGTGAGTCCGCCGATTATTATTTAAACACAATAGTTTTTTATTTTTCTTTTTTTATATCTTTTCTTATTCATTATTCGTTTTCGGTATATTAGAGTCAAGAGGATAAGGCTTCTTCAGATCAATGTCGTAAGTAATTTTATACATTCTACTTCAATTTTTACTTAATTTTTCAAATTTGACAACAAAGTATAATGTTTGATGTTTTGTTACAGACGCTTCACAGCATCAACTTTTTGGTATATTTTGGAAAAAAATCCAACGGTGGCTCCAAAGCCAAGAATATAAGAATCTCTTATTATCTCACAACTTAAGATCTTACTTTGCTTTTAAACATAAATTCTAATGTTTAGTGTTTCGTTACAGATTTTCTACAATCTTTATTTCCCCTAATCTTTTAAGAATCTTATGATACTTCAAAAGCTAAAAATGTAAGTACTTTGTTGTATTTCAATTCTATTCTGTATAGTACTCTTTCTATTGAAGTCGAATATAAAATTATAATTATAAATTAAAAACACTTCAGATTATTAGTCCCAATTTTTATTATTATTAAAATTTAAATTTTTACAAATAACACTGAGTCTTATTACTAGAAATAAAATATTTTATGTTTTTCAGGAAATTTTTCACTTCCACCATGGGTATTTATTTGCTGAAGGTCTCACGATAACTTTTCCTGGTCTAGTACAGCATCGATGATAACGTTCTTCACATCTGTCGCGTGAGTCGCATGTATTTATGTTCCTCCGGTCATTCAATCATGTTGTAGGATGAAAGGTCCGAATCGACACGGGTAACTGGTTGTATACGTAGAATTTTTTATGAGCATAGTGACCGCGGATATTTTTTTATATCCATGAGTAGTAATTTTTTCAGGTTTTTTATGTATCAGGATAGGGCTTCTTGCGATTTCAACAATTATTAATATATATAATATATACAATAGTAATTATTTGTAAAATCAAGATGTATTCAGTATAAATGTTTGCAAAAGCAAAATAGATAAATTATAAATTATTATTAAAATGATTTCGTTTGAGCATTTTATAGTACAGAAGATATCCTCCAACTTTGTTACAACGAAAGAGGCAGTTATTACTTGTTGATATACTGATCATATATTTTGTTATAATAATTAATAATTAATAATTTCCAACTTCATCTTCTCTTTTATAATAGTACTAAATGATTTAATTGACTGAATTTTATAGTTATGAACTTCAATACAATTTGATTATATATAATAGATTAGAATTCTTTCCGTAGAAAAATATATGAAATTTTTTATGCAAGAAGATACTTGGCGACAGGCAAATTTTTGAATCAAGGCAAGTTTGAACACTGCTTTCGCATTTTCGAAAATGTGCTTTGATGAAGAAATCGCCTGATATATTATGAATATAAAATATTTATATAAAATATTTCTATTAATATATTATTATTTAGAGTCAATTTGATTTTGATTGTTTGAGTCAATTATTAAATTTCATAGTATCTTTTTTAATAAATTCAATACTTGTTCATTGTCTTCATTCTCTTGCAATTTCAATAATTTTTAAAAGAATAGGGTCATCATAGATTGAAATAAAATAATGCAATAGTTCGTTAGATTACATAAAATAATCATTTTTTTAGTTCAGGTTTAATCCCTTCCGTATTCATTGTCAGGATTTCGCTCACGTGCCCACGTGCTACTTGGATGGGTGAAAGACATTATGGGTACGATGACCATAGTTTGTAATTTTCTCAATTATAAAAAATTTCTCAGCGACTGATAATGTATTAACGTCGTGCACGACGTATTTTCCGCGCGCGCACGCGCGCGTGTGTGTGATTAGGATGTGGAATTGCGCCGTTTCTCTTGTTCCATTCATTATAAGTTGAAATATTTAAAATATTTATACACTAATTTAAAGAATTATGAATTTATTATCATAATACGTAATAAATACATTATAATTATATTATTATTACTATAACTATATTGTTAATTATATATGATATATATGATAATTATATATGATATATTATTAATTATATATGATATATGATATATAATAATAATGATTCTAAGTCAACTTGCACATGTAATTTCTATAAAAATTATACGTATTTTTTCTCAGTTGTTAATATCTTACTATAACTGTAAATATAAACGTTTTAATCACATTTTACGTAATGATCGCTAGCCATTATCAGTCGATTTCAGGAAAATGGTACGTAAATTGGAATGTAAAAGTTGTGTGCTAAGCTCGGGGCGTTTTCTGTAGTTTAAGTCTGCGCCTGAATAGTATGTATGAGAACTGTGCAGTGAGTGTGTTGGTGCCTGTTTTGCCATTTTTTAAATATAGGACGACTGGTTAGGTAGCATACTTTCTGGTGTGAATGTGTTTAATTGTAAGTAGGTAGAGCCGGGCAAGTTGGCACAGTGCCCCCTTTTCGCGTGTCCAACTTGTTTCAGGAAATCTAATTTGAAATATTGACAGTGAAATTGGTACAAATGGAGCATGCTTGTTTCTAGTTTTACTCTTCGGTTTTTCGAATTTAGTATCGCTGTCGCACAGGTCTCGAAATGAACGTTTATGTAGATATTGCTCGAGCACGCACTATGATCGATAGTCGTTCATATGTATTGGGATTAGCTTTTGCGATTTACATTATTATTTCGCCTTTATAAGTTATTTTTTGGTTTGCGATTAGAAAGACTGGAGCTAGATGTAAGTTTTTTTAAAAGAGAGTTACAACAAATGACTTCTCATCCTCGGGATTATTTAAATGATTCCAGAGCATGGGAGATCATTCTTGTCACTATGCTCTTTTAGTGTTTGTAGTTGTATTTTTTTTCTTTTTTTCATTATCGTTCATTATTGTTTTGGGCAAATCGCGATATTTCCTGTTAGTATTGCGAGAAATTGATTACAATTTGAATTAGAGTTGCGGAGAAATGATAATCGCGTTTGCTTTAGAGTTGCGAATTATGATACCGTGATTGATACCGTCTTTTGCAATTTTGATTTGAATTTTTATAGCTGTTTTATTGTTAATGTTGTACACAGTAAAATTTATCTCACTTTCTGTTGTTTTAATTAAATTATAGAGTCATTGCTTTTAATTAATTTTAAAGTGTTAGAGTTTTTGAAGTAACTTTTCTTTCGTACAGTTGTATTGTTCATAATAATTATCACTAAATTTAGTTTTAGAGTTAGTGTTGCAATATTACTGCGACTTTTTCTTTTAGTATTACGATAATGAATGATCACGTTTTTTTGAAATAGTGTTGCATATACAAAATGCCCAAATTTTTCCACTAGATTCGTAGAAGACTGT